TCCACATGTAAATATGTTTTTGAGGCAGCTGAATTCAAAACTGATGTTAACAACTCGATATTGACAATTGACAGCTGTCAAATAACTATCAAACCACCACAATATTTATTTCTACCGTCGGCGTTAGCGATACCCGATGTACATCACGTGGAGGTCGCGCGATCGATTTTTGTACATCTTGACCCTGAAAAGGGCCGATTGTTTTATTGGATCTATGATTTCACGATATTCCAGAGTTAGTTGTGGGAATTCCATTAGATGAACAGCATCCATTCGAACCCATCTATTTATGTTTCTAGCAAAAAGATTGTTTATATCTACAAATGCTTGCACTATATTTGGTTCTCCTGCTTTTTCAATTCAGCATCAGCTCCATTCATATGAATAATACGATAATAATCACTTATATTTGGGACGTGCTGAACAGGAATAGTTTGTTTTAAGAACTCAAATATAGATTTTATGTGTCTATTACGGACTTCTACGATCCACCTTGACTTGGTTATTTTTCGAGAGTCGTTTGCATTTTCTGTAGGTAACTGGCGCATTCCAGGTTCAAGAAATGATAGCATTTTATAAACGATACCTAAACGGGTTAATAAATCGGTGCAATCTCGGTAACCTCTATCAATTAAAACAATATCGTTTTCTTGAAACCATCTGCACATTCTTTCAGAATATTTACAAGATATGACCATTGGAGTATATCAAGTAAGGCTTGCACCCTCTTACGTGCAAGATAAGCTCCAAAGAGACGCAGATGAAGAGTTTCAGTTTTAAATGCTTAGAGGAGAGAACAACTTGCCCGAGCGTGGTTTGCTTAGAGTTAGAGTTTATTCTCGATTCCGAAATTCCACCAAACATCAACTTTGCATCACTTTTAAACCAAATGACGAGATTAAAGGAAACGAGGAAGATTATGAATTCAACAGGAATGAAGAGCCCATTTTCGGTTATTATTGCACTTGTCCGTCCGGTGCTCGTACTGTTGATACTTGTGCCCATGTTGCAAGTATCCTATGGTTCTTACGATATGGAAGGCACGAACCTAATATTAGTTATCCATCAACTAGTATCGTAAATACTATTCGAGATGCAAGAAACCGTCCACAATAACTAAACTGTAATATTACATTATATTTTTCTAAATACATTGATAACAATCTAAAAGACTCAAAACGGAGTTCGTGATAATTTTTCTTTAACTATTCCTAAAATAGGACGATATATATCGTCCTGTATTATAAATAGGTTGATAAAAAATATCGTACACATATATTTACACATATTTTATCAATTTTGATTGTCACATGCTGTTTGACAATTAGTTGACAGCTTTTAACTGTCAATATTGTCTTTTTGACAAGGTTTTGAATTTAGCAACCTCGAAGACATTTATTTACTCCTGAATTTTGTCAATTTTGATTGGCATATACTGTTTGATCTCAGATAAATAAATAAATAATAGATACAGCCCTATCATGCAATATTTGTAACCAGCATCTTCCCTCACTATATAGCAGTGGTTACACGACTTGATTGGATATTCGCTATTTTGGTTACACACCTGATTGGTTAGCAAACAATTGACAGGAATACGTTAGTTAGGTTAGTTATTTTATGGTTATTTTGTGGTTCATTTTGAGTTTATTTCGTAATTTAATTGAAAAAATTTTGTGGTTTAAGTTATTTTGGTGCATTTAATTGCTTAAAAATGCCAGTGAATTGTCTTGCGTGCTCGAGAAAGTATCTCAAGTTCAGTTCGATAACGTTTCATAGGTAAGTAAATAAAAACCATTACCGTTGCATCACACTTTTTTGAGGGGTATCATAATTCAAAATAAGGTTTAAAAAACAACAATTTATTTTAAAGTTTAAAATAACATTCAACGTCGAATTTCGAATTATTTTATTGTGCCTGTGTTTAATAACTTTGAATTTATTAATAGGCTATATTTAAATTAAAGTTATATTGTTATGCACACACTGTACATTTAAGAAGGCTCTAGTGGCATTCACTTTAGTTATAAAATCTTAGTATTGCTTTATTTTAATGACAAAATATATTGTTAGAACACCATAGTTATTTTAAAGTATACTATGTTGCATTCTGTATTACATGAAATCCTACCTACCTATATGAATGCCCTTATTTTACTCACATCCTGAAGATGTTCCTCAACTGGAAACTATGTCACATTCTGAACCTTCTACATCTGAAACTAAGTGAGTATGAACAAAAACTATAAATAATAAAATTGTTTTTTTGTCTTTGTCTAATTAATTTGAATATTCTAAGTATTAGTACGGGAACCAATAAATTTTGTAATTTTTTAATTACCTATTCATGTTATTTTAATAACACAATAATATATGTAATTATTATGATATGTTTTCTTATTGTCTAAATTAAAAAAAGATTTCATTTATCTCAAGTGAATGTATATTATATTTACTTATTATATAGTTACACGTCACATAATTAATTTAATTTGTAAATTGTGTAGTAGGAAAATGGTTGCCAGTATCGCATCATCCTGGAAATATCTAATTCGTATATTCTTGGAGACTTGTCTCGATTCTGCTTACGATCCTTTAAGTCTTTCAAAGTCATTCGTTTTTTTCACAGGTACAGTCTGAAGAACATCTAAAGCATCCCCTTGAAAGGCGATAGTCACATTTACTTACTTTTCTCGTTCAAACGTCCACGACGAGATTAAAAAAGAATTGGGCAGTATAAGAACCGATAATTGGATCAATCTCTTAAGGCTAAGACACGCTAAGATATTTTGGTGCATTTAATTGCTTTAACTTCTGGGTCTGGGTGAATATAACCATCAGGAAACCATGGCAGGAAACATCGGAAGCCTGTGTGAGATCTGTGATCTGTATACCCATTTATAAATGGTAATGTTAGTACCCGTGACGCCATCTATGTTTCAGCTTCATATAAGTGTTTCTCTCCTTATATCACAGTCATCTGTAGTCTGTGACACCGTAGGATTATAGATCGTACGTAGATGCCGCCACGAGTACTAAATAAGAATCAGATTACAATTTCGTATTTCATCTTGAGTTTTGTCTTGTATTATAACCATTACTGAATTACTGTGTTTATCAGAATACCAGAGAATAAAAGCTTGCAACAAGGTGTTGTTTTATTGAGTAGTAGAGCAAGAACAGGCTTCATATTGTAACAGAGATCCTTACCGGGCATTATCGACTTAAAGGACACCTTAGTAAACTGAGAGTAGTAGAGGATAGTGAGTGCAGATTCTGTGAGAAGGAGGACGAAACCTCCATTCACATTCTAACTGAATGTGTAGTACTTCAGAATCCAAGGGCATTATGCCTAGTAGGAGGATATCAAATAGAAAAGAGAGAGAGATTTACCTAACACGAAGCCACTCCAAATCCTACACTTCCTTGAGAAGATAGGATTGGAAGGGTCGTTATAGGCATTAAGACATTTCCTTGGTGCATTAGCGACAGAAGGGGACACAATAGATCTTTTAGGTCGCAGTGTATTAACACCCCATTCCCAACAACATCTCAAGTGAATGTATATTATATTTACTTATTATCACGTCTCATAATTAATTTAATTTGTAAATTGTGTGGTAGGAAAATTGTTGGGTTTTATTTATCTGTAGTTAATGAATATTAGTTTTAGTTATCTAGGTACCTGTCACATAATTATTTGATTTATAAATTATGTGAAAGGAAAATTGTTGGCAACTAAATTATTATTATTATAATCACCCCATTATCCATTATTAATTGTTATTAAACCAAATGAGTACAATAACACAACGTCTCTAAAAAATTGCTTAACATTGTTCTATTTCTAACTGACAAGAATTCATCGAAATTAAGTTTTATTATTCAAAATATTGTGTATTAGAAAACCTTGGCAATATTTTAAAACGGTATGAACTTATCATTTATTACATAAGTATCGCTTTATTCTAAACTGTTATTATAACATTTGTCTTTGTTTTGTTTTCCAGATCTAACCCAATTAGGTATTTAATAAAATTAATTACATAGGTAGGTACCTACCTATTATAAAAATTGTTTTTTAACCCTACTTTCCTAATTATTAAAAACCATAAATATTTTGTGCACAAAATTTATTTAACTTAAAAGGGACTAACAATAAACAGATACTTTATTCGTTTTTTTATTACATATATAAGCGGTACTCATAATAAATCAATAAAAATAATTTACAGAAGAATCGATATTATTAAAAAATATTAGAACAAAAATTTAGAATTTATGAAACCTATCATTGCAACGTTTATTCAAATTATTTGTGTATAAAAATAATGTATGTTTTTAATTTAAAAAATATATGTATTGGTCGACTGAAAAATTCATTTTTGACGGTTTTCTATAAACATCTTAAATTAGAAACATTGATCCATTGAAATATCTCTAAACTAATAAAATAATATAAATCAAAAGCATTTCTATTGACATTTATTTGATACGCTACTGGATAATAAAACTAACAAACCCCGCTCTTCCCCTCCTAACAATTGGCTTGTATATGTTGCTTTCAAACAAACGCAATATAAATTTTTTACATTCAGTTATCTATTATTATTTATTTATCTGAGTGTTTGATAGCTAGTTGACAGCTAGTTGACAGCTAGTTGACAGCTGTCAACTGTCAATATTATTATATTGACATTGGATTTGAATGCAGCGACCCCGAAAACATAAGAAGGTACTTCTTTTTTAACGCAGCAAATACTAAACATTCGAGGAGATTGCCTTTTTAAGTAGTAAATAATGGTCATCCGTGGAGCTTTGGAGTTCCGTAGGAGCCAAAATAAGCGAAATGGAGCTATGTGCCCATTGTGACTTTTGCTCAGGATGCCAAAACGAACAACATATCCAAATTTCAGCCAATTTGACCGGAAGCCAAGTTTCATAAGATTTGTGCGGGGTTCTTTAAATGCGGCGAACGACTATGATGCAGTCTTCACACCATTAAATTTTGGCGTTCACATTTCTTTTTCGTTAACTGTACCTAATATTTACTTTTAATACCTAAAGCTTCATTTTTAACTGATTTGTTTTTTATTTTAGCCCCGAGGACGACGAAACTACGAAAACACTGAAAAATTAATAAGATTAACTATTAAGTTAATAGCTTTTAAGAAAAAGATGGGAAATTGTATATTCTGTAAAATTATAAATGATAATGAACAAACCGAACAATATGTACAACCATTTATATCAGAAACCCATAGGAACAGAACACGTGAACAAAACAAATCACCAACTTCAAATGATAAGACGAGCAATAAAAGGGAACAAATAAATAAATTACCAACTTTAAAAGATACAACCAGCAATGAAGCTTCAAAAAACATTTATTCAAAAAATATATGCACAAATATTAACAATTTACCTCAAAAAGTCAAACAAACCCCAGAAATGTTAACAAAATTTCTGAATTTATTGTTTGATGAAAGACTATCAACAAATGCTGTAGAATTTCATAATTCAAATAAGATCTACACACTAAGTGAATTAAATGAATATTGTTTAGAATACAGAATGATAACAAATTTATTTACGGATACTAATAAACGATGTTACAGAATACAGAAAATTGAAAAAATTTTTAATCCTTACCTGTTATTGCAGTACAGAATGAAACATTTGGAATATGTAGCCAAGAAAAAAATAATGAACGAGAGAAATATGTTTCACGGTACTTTAAAGACAAATATAGACAACATATGTCGAAATAATTTTAATTGGAGGTTGCACGGTATTGTTTTTAATGAAAACTAATGATATCTTAATAACAATTTTTTATGTTGTAGGTAGACATCTTGGAATACGAAATGGCCAAGGAGTGAATTTTACGTCTGTTGCCTACTTTGCCACACATTATTCAGACACAGGATTTGATAAAGTGATGATAATTGCCAACGTTTTAGTTGGGAAGAGTTGTCAGGGATCAGCGGGCGTTTCGGTACCCCCTGGCGATTGTGACACTACGACAGATCACCGCCAACCCCCACAAGTGTTTGTCAAGTATGATGATAACACTTTTTATCCGGCTTTTATTGTTTATTATTGCGGAATAGATCCAAAGCATAAAGGACGAAGATTGTGATACACTTTCTGAACTGCATGGGTTAATGGAAAAATGGTTAAACCCCCAAGGCTACAAGCCGTTTCGAGAAAATGGACGATAAAGTTTGACAATTTCAATTTGCCGTAACACCAATAACATGTTAATTACACATTTTTTTAATATTTTATCAAATAAAATTAGGCTTAAAAAATTAAGGACGGAGTATCCCTGTGTATAAAAACCGTATGTGTAGACATAAAGATAAAACGACTAATTTCCGAATATATAGGGTGTCCCAAATTGTTTTATCCATGCAGTAACTTCTAAACCATGCAAGATAATCGAACCGGACAAAAGTCATCCATTATAATTGGCGGTGTACTTTGAAACAAATAAAAATCTGATGATTCACCCTCAAAAACTACCCCCTGGAACAACCCCCTCAAAAATTATTAACGACACCCTAATTTTTTTTCTGCTCATTTTTGAAGTCGCCACTTTTCTCTGTACAACTGTTTTTAAAATTTTGAAATCGCTCCATAAATAAGTGAGATTCGTATTTTTTTTCATTTTCATCAAGTTGCTTGCTGTCAAATTCTTGGTTTTTCTAGCGAATTATAAACAATACTATGTCAATCTGTCACTTGTCAAATACTTGATAAGTTTTGCAATAATTTAGAGTTTGTCAAGTTCCTAACAAATTATTTCAAAATGCCTACTGTGTTTAGTTCCAACGAGTACACAGATATGATAATTATTTACGGCAAATGACGCAAGAATTCAAGACAAGCTAAACAATTATACTATGAACGTTTTCCGAATAGAACAATCCCCTCAGAACGTTTTCCGATTTAGAAAGAAGTCTTAGACAAGGACATTTTCCTGACGGTAAACATCATGGAGGGCAAAACAGAATGATCATAAATGAAGAAAATATTATACACGTTTTGGCTTACGTTCATGTAAATCCACATGTTTCTATCAGAGATTTGGCACTCCAAATTTGAATAAGCAAAAGTAGCATCCAAAGAATATTAAAAGTTCACACACCCACGCTAATTTTTACGCTAGAGTGTATAGGCAACCAACTTACGTATAATTCTTTAACGGCTGAGCCGTGATTATAATTTCTAACTTTTCTTTCCTTAATACGCCAGTAAGTAGTGCACAAACCCGGGAGTGATCCGGTTTTAATGGCGGAGCCCTCCGGGCCATCCAAAACAGTCTATGAGACCATCTACTCCAAAAGACTTCGCGAGCGGATAAACTCTACGAAACCCTCAACTAACTCTGTGAATGTGTCGAGAAATCGCGCCACCTCAACCACTTCTAAGACGCTAAAAGCATCCTTACAGAACCGTAAGTAACACAGGGAGAAGCACTAACCATACTAATCTGGGATCAGTCAGCTACCCCAGTGAAGACTCCACGCAAAATTTTTTTCCAAAAAAAAAGCTTGGAGAATGGAAACAGATGGTGACAAAACAGATCGCCAACAGTCCAGCCAAATCCGCATCTGCTGAGAGCAGGGCGAGAAGCAACTCCGAACCATCGGCTAAACAAAAGCTCGGCGAACTAGAATTAACCACGAAAAAAGAAAGCTTGGAAAAAGCCAACAGCGCCACAGAAGACCCAAGCAGCAAAGAACCCAAAAGTAAGGAGAACACACTCAAAACTAAAACGGACTCCGAGGCGAGCCGCAAAAGTAAAGAGAAAGACAACGTGAATAAGCCAAACTCTTCCGCTTCACTCGATAATCTCGAAAGTAAGAAGAAAACACTTAAATCAAATACAGATATCGAGACTAAAAGAAAAAGTAAGGAGAACACTGATGTGAAAAATCCAAACTTTACCGCTACTGTAGATATTCTCGAAAGTAAGGAGAAAAAGTATAGAGAACACTGACGTGTTCGGCGAAAGTAAGGAGAAAGCTGATTTCTTAAAAACCGGAGACCAAGGCAGAAAAAGTTCGGAGAATTTAAATTCTGGAGCATATAGCGACAGCACCGAACCGCAAGAAAGTGCTGAGACCACGGACAGCATAAAATCAAGTGATTCATCCAACGGCAGCTTAGAGAGAAGCGATATAATACGAGGCGATCCAAATGAAAGCTTGGAGAATCTCATAAATGATCTGGAAGGCACGAATGAGGACTCCAACAGCCCGGATAATTTGAACGAAACCGTCCTAGAGATGGACCAGGATGAATCAGGGGACGAATCCCCAAAAAAACAAAAAAAAAAATAATTCAACTTTTTTGGAAAAAAAAGTATGTGGAAAAATTCGCAGATTTTGAATCAGCATACAAAACACTCCCATTTCCACAACACATCAGGGCCAGGACGCTGAACTTCGGGCCTGACACACCCCAATCTGACAGCAGCACCATCACTCCTGGAACCACCCCTCCCAGTGGAAATGAAAATGGCCCTTGGAGTGGGAAGGCCGGAACACAGAGAGTTAAAGAACCACAAACGAACATGTAAAATAACACTATAACACAAAAGGGTGAGAGCACTGTGTCTGTAGGGACGGACCGGGTCGAGGGTGGATCGAGTAGCTTTCGATTCGGCTTTGTCCCCGCAGCCACAGGGTTCAACCCTATGCTACCCAATAGTGGAACACACAACCCTGTCACAAAGAATACAGGAACAGTGCCTAAAATTTATCAGCTACCTAGCGATCCCAGAATAACAATAGGGATAAGAAGTACAGATCTGCCGGCAAACATTGATAAGACGATATTTAACTTCAACAATGGGAATGCTACATCGGAAGAAGACAGAAGCTCAGAAAATCAATACCCCCAGGGGCAGAACCTACTGTTTCATTCGCCTAACAGCACTTTCCCTCTGAGAACGAAATTCAGCCCTATAAAAAACTCCCAAATGGACACAGACCCTACGAAAGATAATCAACCCTTCATCACACCAAAAAAATTCAGCTCGAATTTCGAAAAACTGATAAGGGAGAAATCCAAGAAAACGCTGACTAAAACCTCCAATAGATATCATGTCCTCACTGAAGATTCGGATTCTGAAATGGATGATGAGAAAAAGTCCGGTAAGACAAGAGAAGACAAAGAAAATAGTAAAACAGTAGAAAATAAAGAAGAAACAATCGAAAGCATATTGGCAGAGAACAAAGCCTCTAATACCAAAAACCCTCCAAGAAAGGTTACAACAACCCCAAAAAACAAAACTCATATGCCCCCCATAATTATAGACGGTAAAACAGCTAGTCAGAACACCCTTGTCAATGATATTAAAGCCATCGTAAGTGGGAAATTTAGTATCAAGCATACAAACACCCCAACCATACTTTTCCTCGAAGAAAAAGAGGATCATGAAAAAATGGTAAATATCATAAAAGCTGAAAAACTCCCCTACCACACCTACACGAACAGGGAAGAAAAAACCCATGAGTTTGTACTCAGGGGACTGGCAGACGGTACCAAAATTGAGCAAATAGATGAGGACTTGGCCGAAGAGTACGACATCAAAGCCAGATCAATCTTTAGAATGAATACCAAAAATCGTCCGCTTTTCCTGGTCATAACGGATCCCACTATCACTCTTGATTACCTCAATAAAAACGCCAGAAGAGTTCTATACACAAGGGTGGTGTGGGAACTCCGTAAATCTGTCAAGCAAATAGTTCAATGCCACACTTGTCAGCAGTGGGGGCATGCGACAGCGAACTGTGGGAGACAGCCAAAATGCGTCAAGTGTGCGGGTGATCACCACACAAGCACCTGTCTCAAGACAAGAGACACCCCAGCAACATGTGTAAACTGTGGTGGTGATCACCCCGCGAATTATACAAAATGTAAGAGCTATACGGATAGGTTAGAGAGGCTAGAACTTAACCGAATGCAGAAACCACAGAAGACTAAATATGTACCCGCCCCCGTACCGGCTATTAACCAATGGGACGCGAGAAGAACCAACGGAAGAATTGATGATTTCCCAGCGTTACCCAATAGAAACACCAGGCCAAATGTGAGAAATAACAGCACATCTTCGATTCCCAGAATGGAGGGTCCAAGGCAGATGGCTCAGGGATCAGTTACGGCCGATGTCACATCCTTAAATGAAGCGTTCGCGGAGCTAAATAGCTTAGTTAACATAGGTGAGTTGGCTAGAGCGGTTAGGCAACTAAACGCACAAATCAGACTTTGCAAAACGGGACAAGAACTCATAGAAACTTACAACCATTTCATGACTAACGTAGACTTTAACTTCAAACTTAGAAACTAACGAACTAATCATTTACAAAGACAAACTCAAAACTTGTTTTTACAATGCAAATGGGATGCGCAACAAAACCGCAATTGTTCGCAGTTTCATTCTCAAACATAATTTTGACATCATGCTCTTAAGGAGGTCCTTTCGCCACCAATGTTAAATAAAAAATATTATATTAGGACTAAAATTAATTTTTTTCTAATAGTAGAAGTCCTTATTTATCTAATAGTGAACTTTTAACTATACCTTACCGTGCAAATTTTTGAGAATTTTTTTTTAAAAATGTGTGTGTTTGTACAGTTTCTTATGAGAAAGTAAGACTTCAACAACAATTTTCGAATTATAATTAATTTTACTATTATTTATTGATTAGATGGAGTAGAAAAAAACTAAAAATAAGAGCAGAAAAAAAATTGGGATGTCGTTAATAATTTTTGAGAGGGTTGTTCCAGGGGGGTAGTTTTTGAGGGTGGGTCGTCAAATTTTTGTTTCAAAGTACACCGCCAATTATAATGGATGACTTTTGTCCGGTTCGATTCCCTAATAGCACAGTACTGTTACACGAACGTTCCAGAAACATACCCTTGGGACATTAGAAACGTCTCTCTCATGTTTCTTATTCTCCCTCAAACGTACCTGGGATGTTTCTGGCAATGACCATGTCATCATTTGTAACGTATTAGAGACGTTTCTCAGAGACGTTTGTGGAACATCCTGCGATGTTGCTCTAACATCTTAGATAAGTTTTTTATACTATTGCTGGAACGTTCTAGAAATGACCTAAACGTTCTTTAGTAGGATAATCAAATCTATTACTTTTTTTCATAAATTTATTTAAGAAAATATTTTTTGACACAAAAGATAAAAAATGTTAATTATTACGCTCTGATTCATTGCGTCTATTTCTTTCCGGAGCCCTCCACAACTAGTCATCTATTTTAATTTCCATTTCTTTTTTGTTTACCGAATCTGAAAATGTTTTAATTAAGTGATTATATAAACAATTGATATTAGGTTAAAATAATTACCCATAATGGCTTCAGCTATTTTCAACTTGGCGTCTACCTTTTTTTCCAGTGAATGAAAACAACTTACACAATTCGTTCCTTGACGGGAACTATGCATCTTCTAATAAATTCACACACATTATTGGTACTTTGGTTTTCAAAATACAATACCTAAAATAGTTATTTTTAAAGTTAACAAAGAAATAATGACTAGAATGTATAAAAGCCACATTTTGTTAAAGGAAATTAAGTTACCTTCTTCATTTTGGCTTGAATATCTCGCCCGTAAAATGATCGCTTTTGCATTGGCCAAGCCTGATTAAACCTTGAATTGGAAGTAATTTTTCATGTAGCTTTACGTACAAACTATACACATCAATCCGGCCGCCTATTATCACTTTTAGTTTGTTTAAAAGTTTATACAGAAGTTATTTATTACTTTTAAACTTTTCCAAACTTTATCATAAGCGAGGCGAAGCACCTTTTTATTTTCAACTGTCAACACTAATGAACTATCTGTCATATGTCAATACTGTCATTTGACGGTAGACGTGTTCGGTTAATACTCCACGAGCAAATCAAATATAAAGTTTATTTCTTTCCATCGAAAATATCGTTCCATCCATAAAATTTGTGTAAAAGGAACGATATTTTCGTAAGTACTATAGCTCAGTGCTACACTTTCAATGCAAGAAAATTGATTCCATCACGGGGACTTCCTTCAATAGTGTATTTTTTAGCTCGCTGAGGATTAACCGAACTCTCCTGCTGAGCCAGAAGGAAGGGTATATTCATCTCTGTCGTATTTGCTTTGCACTCTTTTTTGAAGGAACTAATAAAGATAAATTGGACCGGTAGCAGTTGTCTTGTGAAATTAAAATATTGTTCAAAATGTTCAAATTTAATATTGGGGTTTGATATGATTGTAAATTTCTGGTGATTGTAGTAATTTTATAATTTATTGATATTTCAATATAATTAAAACGAAAATAGAATACCTAAAACATAATTACGATGTTTCTAAAACATTCTTGAGAAATCATTCCAGAAACGTTTCTTTAGAGACATCGTAGGGACGTACCATTTATGTCAGAACCATAGAAACATACATGGAACCTAAATGGGCTGTTTCTGGCAGATCGGTGTTATTAGGGTTATCTTGCATAGTTTAGAAGTTATAGCCTGGATAAAACAATTTGGGACACCTTGTATACTACTTAATCTAATTTTGGCCAAATTAAAGATAAAGGTTGTAAGGGATTTGGGTGTGGATAGCGTAGGTTAAAAGGAATGGAGTCGTTCAGTAGGCACTTAAATTAATGAATTGACTCATTCTAATTGGATTTTATGAACACCAAGAGGTTACAGCTTTGTCGAACTAGTAAAAAAACAATGAAAACATTGAAAACTAACAAAACAAATATAGATTTTTAAAGAACCATTCATGCACACTGCCATAACCTCCCAAAGGAGGCTGTGACACAGTGACGTCGCTCGTTAACTGTCTAGAACAGGCCTGCACAACATACGGCCCGCCATTCTCGTTTTGGCGGCGCGCTGGCAGTTGACCAGTTTGGCCCACCTACGTGAAACTATATAACAAACTTGCATTTAGGCTGATGACTTTTTTTTAACAGCTCTTTCAGCAGGAATTGGTTTATAAACTATAAGCTGGCGACCTTTTTTTTAAGCTCGACAGGATTATAACGCGAGGACCTTTTTTGTTCGTTTTTGTTCGTTTTTTTTTTTTTTTTTTTTTTTTTTTTTTTTAGAATCTGAACAGACCACTTTAGGCTCATGTATCTCTTGGCCCTCGTATACTTACGGTTTCTCCGGTGGCTGGGTACAACAGATACGCTTTTTATACACCTTTGTTGATTTAGCTTTGCAGTCACATCTTTGCATTTGTGGATATCAAAATTGAGTTGCTGCCAGGTTCGGCTTTAGGTTGTGAGATAGGTCACTGCCATGCGAATATATCTGAATTATCATGTACAGAAAACATTACAAAACTAAAAAAAGACATGTATCAGTATAAATAACTAAGAATACTAACTAAAAAAAAATATCAAAAGTAGAATCAAATAAAACAACATACAATTCAGTAATAATAAGAGCGTACCTAATTATTTTAAAACTACACGAATAAATTAGAAATAGGTACTTAACAATAAAACAGTAGGTAACAAAACTGCTATAAATAATAATAAGAAAGCATATCTAAATGTTTTATTATCTAGGTATCCAATTTTTTTCCCAAATATTACAAGGCATCATTTTCTTATTTAGGACAAACTTTAAGCAGCTCCCTTGTTTTTTAACACCCGTTTTGGTTGCTAGTAAGTATTTTATTGTCTCTGTATTTGAACTCGACCTTTTATCCGTTTTAATGTTATAGAAGTTACTAAAAATCTCTCTACACTTGCGTTCGAGAAGGGTAGGATTAGTGAAGGAGATACAAATTTTTTTAAGTTGGGAAATAAAGGCACATTAACTGAATTTTTAGGTTAAATATGGCATATCAATCTAGTTCCCAGGCAGCACAAAGCGTCCATAAGACGTCTGTCAGAGACATAACAGACGTCTTATGACGCCGGCCAGACGTCTTAAAGACATCTTTAAAGGTATGGTTTCACTGGGGCGTCCAGCGGTAACCTCCCTCGGTAACCGCTGTCGGTAACGACCGGCGGTACCGTCTATGTGTTTTCGTTAAAAGCGTCCGCGTTCGGCAGTTGAGTATGGTCGCTCGTTCGGTATGGATCGAAGACAACTCGCTGCTATACTCTTACTAGAAGATGAAGAGGAGGAGGAGGAATTTTTTTTATTAAAAAAAAAGCGAAAAAAAGTTGATCCAATTTTTAAGTTAAGATGCGCAGAAGGGTTCCACAGCATTTTAATCAATAAACATTTGAATTTAAATGAAAAAAAGTTTAGAGCGTTTTTTAGGTTGAATGCAGACCAGTTTCAATTTGCTTTAAACCTTACACGCAATAATCTTAAAAAACTGTCGACATCGTTTGTGAAATACCCAATAACACCAGACGAAAAATTGGCCATTACTTTAAGGTAAGTATATTTTTTTTTTGAATTTTTGAACAGTATTAAAATTAAACAAACAAATAAAATAAACACATATTCTTTACAAAAATTAAAAATGGAAGGTTTTACAAAGAAACAAACTCAAATTACAAAAAAACGAATAGTAAAGTCAAACAAAAGTTACATGACTTATAACCGAAACAAAACATTTTGGTTGTCTGTATCTCCTTCAGAACCAGGGGGTACTAGGCTGTAGCCCTCTAGCAGTGAGTTTTGTTCTTGAATCGTTGTATTTAATTTCGCAGAGGGTTGCTCTATAATTATGTTTAGAGGTGCGGCTGCATATGCACGTGATTGAAAATCGGATACGACGGATAGAACTTTCATCTGAAGTTCTGTTATTAAATGAGGTGGCAGTGTCTTTACTTTGAGAGCTATACTTTTAAAAAACAAGTCAACTTCATCGTCCTCTTTTTGTTTGCATATCCCTTGCAACAACTCCATCCTTTGTTTCGATCTCTCTTCCATTCCTGCTGCATTGTATCCTGCTTTTTTTTAACTTTAAACGTACGGCTGCATGAAGTGCTGCTTCTAGAAGTTTCAGGAGTATCAGATTGATAATATTCGGTAGGCAGATTCCGTTTTTTATTGCCAGTGTCAGTTTTCTGATTATATAATGGAGATTGTGGTGGCTCACTTGCATCCGAAAAATCTTCATCATTACAAGAAATGTCTTCTTCATCCAAAGTAGGTTGAGTTTGAGTTGAGTTAATTGACTGTGTGTCTGCTCCATCCAAATTGGTAATACTCGTATATGATCTAAAAAATAATAATGACAAGATGATGGAAAGATATAAATAAAATTAGTAAAAACCTACCGCCTTTCGCTTTTCACTAAATCAAGAAAAGCTAATCGCGCAAAAAGAGGCCATTTTGGGCGACCAGTTGCTGCACTGCCAGTTCCCA